AACCAGACCGAACACTTAAACAATCACGCACAACAAGAAAAATAAACCTGATTACCTGAAACAGGGGAACAAACAACAGATAGGGAGACCAGGGCACATAGGAGCCCGGAGCCAGGGAGACCAGAGGGCGTGAGAGCCTGGAACCAGGGAGACCAGAGGGCGTGAGAGCCTGGAACCAGGGAAACCAAAGGGCGTGGGAGCCCAGGACAGAGACAGCAGCAGGCATGGGAGCCCGGGACAGAGACAGCAGTGGGCGTGGGAGCCCACTGCAGAGACAAAACACATAGAAAATACACAACATAAAGAAACCTGGGAGACCATGGCAACAAACCACACGAAAAAGACTCAAAACAGATAGGAACCAAGAATCCAGGGAAACAGGAGACAGTGAGACCAGGACACCAGGAAGCCAGGAGTAAAAAAAGCAGAGTAAAAGATTTTTTTTTAAAAACCAAGGAACAAATTTCAAAAACACTGCTTCACGAGGGCAAAAAATAAGCTCAACATTCTGTCACAGATGCCGTGTGACAACCCGAGGAAAGCCAGGTATTCATATGTGGATGTCGGCAAGGCATAGAGATGGTAAGTCGGTATAGAAACCTATGCCCTCAGGCCACAGAGGTGGGGCGACCTAATAGGCGGATCTCACGACATCCGTACCCTTAATGCTGAGCGAGGAGCAGAGCAGACACAGGAAGTAAATAGGCTACACAACAAGGCACACTGGAAAGACATGAATAATCGCAGGAACTAGGAACAGGACAGAAGTAGAGCACCCTCTAGGTATACAGGGCATGACAGCAAACCACTGGTAAGCCTCTAGAACAGAAAGGCCAGGTTACAGTCTGCTAAAAAGTACATAAAAAAGCCTCTAGATTTCTGGGACAAAGCCTTATGGACAGATGAGACCAGGATTAACCTGTACCAGAGTGACGGAAAGAGAAAAGTATGGAGAGAAAATGGAACTGCTCTTTATCCAAAGCATTCCACCTCATCTGTGAAACATGGTGGAGGTAGTGTTAGGGCTCGGGCGTGTACGGCTGCCAGTGGAACTGGGTCACTTGTCTTTAGTGATGATGTGACTGCAGACAGCAGCAGCAGGATGAATTCGGAAGTGTACAGAAGCACCTTATTTGCTCAGATCCAAACAAATGCTTCAAACCTCATTGGAAAGCGCTTTACCTTGCAGCAGGACAATGACCTCAAACATACTGCTAAAGCAACTATGGAGTTTTTCAGGGCTAAAAAGTGGAATGTTTTTGATTGGCCAAGTCAATCACCCAACCTGAATCCCATTGAGCATGAATTTCACTTACTGATGATAAGACTCAAAGCAAAAACTGAATTACAGGCCTGGCAGAGCATTACCAGGAAGGATATCCAATGTCTGGTGATGTCTGGGTCGTAGACTTTAGGCAGTCATCAATTGCAAAGGATTCGCAAACATGCCTAATTTTATTTAGGATTATGTTAATGTGTCCAATTACTATTGGTCATATGAAATGGAGGGACTATGTAAAAGGGATGTGATTCCTATATGGTTCACCCAATATAGACGTAAATACCCTCGACCTCAAGCTGACATTCTGCACTTTAACCTCATTTATTGTTTGATCAGTTATCAGTTTATCAGTTATTGTTTTATTTCAAATCCAATGTGCTGGAGTACAGAGCCAAAACAGCAAAAACTGTGTCACTGTCCAAATATTTATGGACTGCACTGTACATGCTGGGACCATGTTAAATCATTAGTGATGAAAGTACCCAAGAATGTGAAGCTGCTAACCATCTCTACAGCTGCCCCATTGATTTAAATAGGGGTGTGGTCCCCATCCCGTTTTCTAAAATCAAAGACCAGCTCTTTGGTTTTGTTGACATTGAGGAAGGGATTATTGTCAAGGCACCACTCCACCACTCAGCATAGGTGTTCACAGAGCCATGAATCTGTAAAATCCTCAAATTAATTATTTAAGGACACATTGCCTGCATGTAACTCTTTTCATTTTGTAGCTTACACCTGATGAAGCTGATCGTGCGAAATGGAAGTTCTTAAGTGAAGTTCAGGAGGAATAATGACAATCAAGCCAATTCCACCCAAAACAACAATTTTCCCAAAAGTTAACTTTATATACATCTCAGGTTAACAGCTCTTTAACACATTTCATCTCACAGATCCCTCCTGTACCCCATCTCCACCTTTGCAATCCCCCACCCCCCCTTGTGTAACTCCAATATCCACAGAGCATCTGATTTTTGGATGTGTTTTTTTATCATGAAAGATGAATATATTCAAATCGGTCTTGTACACCCCTAAAAATAAGCTTCTCAAAACAGATCGCTACCTAGTTGTCACTAGATTTTGCCTCCTCTTTAAAACTTGTCACTTCCAGTTGTTTTTAACATAGTCTTCATACAGTTTGTTTGTCTCTATGTACATTCAGTGTATGGCAAAGGCCAGAACTGTAAGGACTGAATTGAATATGCATTGTTTTCAGTGGGAACTGTCTGCAATCATGTAAGGTTACATATGAGGGTGTACCATTCTGCCCATTTGCCTGTGTGCTTGTTTGTGACTAATGGATCAGAGGATCACATCCATTTGTTTCTTTAAAGAACACAAGACATCTGCTTTAACAACATAGGTACTGTAGCTTGATACAGATAACTACAACCCTCTAGCAAATATATCCCCCGTTTTTTAATTGTGTTTGCAGCTTCTACACTGTCTGCTATTCCTTCCATTTTAATGGCAGTTCTCAAATGCTTCTCTCACCTGTTTCCTCCCTCTTTCTTCATTGTTTGAAAAGGCTATATTATTACAGTCATTCTGTATAGGAGGCAATCTGACGAAGTGAGTAAAGCCCACATTTCAATTCGTTTTTCCAGCACCCCCTGTGTCTTTCAGATCTTATGACATAGGACTACAGTTTAAATTATATCTGAACTGGTTGGGCAGTAGCATACACCTGTTGACATATTGCTCTTTAAATGTTTTTTTGTACACCTGAGTCATATAAGATTAAGAGATCACTTAATTAGCCAAAGACAATTTCTTGCATTAGGAATTTGTCTTTTTGCATACCCCAACTCTCCATGAGACACACATGCACACAGATGGAGAGAGAGAAAAGCTTGGGGTCAGAGTGCAGGGTCAGCCATTTATCCAGCACCCCTAGAGCAGCTGGGGTTAAGGGCCTTGCTCAGAGGCCTAATGCAGTAGGATTCCTCCGCCAGCCATGGGATTTGAACCAGCAACCTTCTAGCCACAGGTGCAGATGCTTAGCCACATAACATAACATAGTTTGTTTAGCTTGCTCTCCATGAGACACAGACACACAGACAGGGAGAGAAGCTTGGGGTCAGAGTGCAGGGTCAGCCATTGTACAACACCCCTGGAGCAGTTGGGGTTAAGGAACTTGCTCAGGGGCCCAACAGAGTAGGATTCCTCTGCCAGCTGCAGGATTTGAACCGGCAACAGGTGCAGATCCTTAGCCACAGAGCCACCGGTCCACCTAAAAACAATCATCAATGTGTTGGCCGGGAATCAAACCCAGGTCAACTGCTTGGATGGCAGCTATGCTCACCACTATACCACCAACGCACACACACACATATTCACAGTGCAACTGCTTCACCCCCAATATAGACCCTTGATTCTGGTTTACCTTCCTGTGAGTGAATGTCTTACAGTGCTGCATCTCCACCATTTCCATCTTTTTTGTCTTTTTGAAACATTTTACAGTATGTCCAATACAACTGTATTCCTCTGTCCCCCTCTGTAGCCATGTGATTGTAATTACGTCGCCATATACTAATGCAAGTACATTTATTTCATGGATTTTGTTTCTAACATACTTGAAATTTAGGTTTAAGTATTTCATTACCTCAATTCCTCTTGGGTTTTCTTTTTGTCTGTACTGAATATGTATATTCCTTTTGTCTTTTCTTTATATTCTTCTTTTAATTTTTAGTTTAAGCATCTGAATTTACAGGGTATCTGTGGATCCACACACTAATGTCAGGTCCACAATACCCAGAGCTACATTCACACTTGGCCAAAATACCCAGCGATACACTCATCAGGTCCTCAATATGTAGTGATACAGTACATTTACACCTGGTTATGCCTAGTCCCCAGTATACTGCCCCATAGTGGTGAACAGGAAAATCATATTATAGGAAGTGCAGTCTTTTGGGTGAGACATTAATGTCCTTAATGTCCTAATTACCTGAACATTCCTATTGTACCATTGGTAAGAGTAGAAGTGTTAACCCTGGTGTCATGGCTAAAGTCTACTCTGGGCTTGCACAGTCAGGCCTCCAGAAAGTTTCAACTTACCTGTACCTCAATTTGTGTAGCAATTTCTCACTTTTGTGCCTGATTTATTGAACAGCAGGGCTGCTGGTGCAGAATGGCTGTCTTGTCAACCAGACAGGCGCAGCGCTACCTGTATCCCTTCCTGTATGCATAGGAAACCACTATATACAGTGTGTGCAGTTTATTATTAATGCGGAAATGATTAAATTACATTTTGTAAATCTCATAACGTGATCTGCAGCAACTTTTCAGAATTTGTAACACAATCTGTAACGGTAATGTAACATTTTTCAAGAAATGATTTTGACAAACGCTTTCCCACAAAAAAAAACTGATTAACCTACATATTTGCCTTTTCAAATAGGTTTTATAACTTAAATATTATCTAAATTAGATCTTAGTTTAATGTTTATAATGGGGTTGATTTCCTGAAACTGGTATTCTAAATAATTTGGTTCGGAGATCACTCAGTTCAATGCATTGTACAACAATCATATTGCTACCTGCTTGTCCATCGTAACATGCCGCACTCAGAACAGCCGATCTTCCCCGCTGTTAAACCTAATTGGTGCCCCTCTCCTTGTGATCGCACTGCTCTCGCTGTTATTGGCTAAACACCTGGTGCCATGTTCGTTTCCGATTGGTGCATAACGAGGTCAATCACCTCGAGCTGTTCAGCCAATCCAGAGGTTGGGGAATTCGTCCAAGGAGACAGAGAGGAAGTTAGTTCCCGAAAGTCCTTCCCTTTAATAATAACAGAAGCAGTGTCATGGAGTCCAGAGGAATTATATGGTTTTGTTCAGCAATATTTTTTGCTTTCTGTCTGTGTCAGACATGTGCTTTCAACACCCCCAAAGATAGTGAGTTTACGTTTATTTTACCTGCTGGGAGAACTGAGTGTTTTTTTCAAACTGCAACGAAAAACAGCACAATGGAAGTAGAATACCAGGTAAGACAGGAACAGACACCAATTCCTTTTTAAGGGTAAAGGTTATGCCGAAGTTGTACTGAGTTTTTTTTATAATAAGGGGTAACTGAGGAGTCTCTCTTGTCCTTTGCAATCAAGTTCTCCGATTGCTTTTGAGAAATTGTGCAACCTGGAGCTTGATGGGGAACTTGAGTGTGACTTTTCACCCTGTTCAGATTGTTCTTATTTCATCAATCGCGCTTCGTGTTTAATGACCCCTTCGTGCTGTAATACCCTTTCGTGCATTACCCTACTATTTTTAGTTAATCTCAATGTGAAGTTTCACTTCCTCATTGAAAAACAAGTGAAACTAAGAATCAACGCACAAGTTTGTTTAGTTAGGGTCACTTGTAGTTCTGTAATGTAATGGCTTCGTGAGTGAAGCGATAGATTGAACAACGCTAATCGTTTATGTGCTTTAATTTACCTATATAAAACTGCACGATTACATGGGAAATCTAGTATGATGCTTTGGAAAAATGATGTAGTCGTTTCCAGGTTCAAAACCACAAATTTCCATTTAGTCACCATGCAAGTTGCTATACAGAAAGCTTCATCCAGCCTGTGGACATTCTCAATGTCTGCTTAATATGTGAACTGGTGTTGTGTCTCGCACATGTACTCTTTGTCGAAGTGCATATTCATTTAACTGTGTTCAGTCTGTTGGGGAGTGTTCAGCGAAGCACATTATGAAGTGAAGCGTTAAAATGTGAAATAGTATTCAGAAGTGTCCTCTCTGTGCTTCAAACTAGTTGTCAGCGCAAAGGTTAAAGATACTGTACCTGGTGTATCTAAATTAGATTATGCTTACTGGTGTCTATAAAAGGCTCCACGGCCGAAACATTGTGTTCTCTTTCTTCTTTTTTTCAGCATGGAATAAACCTATTACTTGTTCCTAAACTAGATTTTGGAGACTGGGCTGTCAAAACATACAGCTGTTTACAAGTTGTTTGTACTCAAAACTGATGTGAGAGACTAAGTATAATGATATACTCCTCGGGGAACCAGAGATCTAATTAACAAGAGGAGTCTAGCTACACTTAGGCGTAACCATCCACAATGATCTTAAGGACTTTTCTGCAAGTGAAGGAAATGTGTACTGAATGAACAGTACCTTGTTGGCCATGTTTGCTGCTGTGTGTTATAAATCAGCAGGATGTTTGTCTTTTAGGTGTTCCTTTTCTGAGTATTTGAATAACCAGTATGATAAGAATTAATGTTCCATGTAGCATTCATGTTGTATGCTTTTTTGTTTTGTTTTTAGTTTACAGACCCTTTATGGATCTTTAATGAGAATTAGCATAAGAAATGGTGGCAATAATTTTCCTTCAAGCAAGGGTATTGACGATACATAAGAAAGCTCAGTACGCTTGCACCTTTGCACATTCAACCAAAACAAAATCTAAAAATGACTTCACTGAGCTTCTTAGTGAGTTGTCAGTTGTGAGTTGCAGAGTGATATGGCTGCCGACATCAGAGAAAGGGTGCGGTGTGATGGTGGTGGAGTGTGGAAGACAGTACTAGAAGATTGTAGAGCATATGTTACCATGGATACCACTTTTCACTGACTAACTATGACTGTTCATAGTCAAAATTTTGGCATTTGACAGATTTGTTCCCATTTATATTTTTTTCTTGTATATTGAAGTCCATATTGGACAGACCTACACTGGAGAATAATTTGCTTGCTGTACTGCTTCCGCTTGTGTCTAAATTTACTTCTGGGGTCCTTTGACAGGAAACTTGGTGGGGGGGGGGGTGAGAGGGGATTTTGTGAAGGGAGGGAAATATAAAAATAGTTTTTTATTTGTTCTAAAACATTAAAATAAAATCTACTTTAGAAAAAATACGTTTTTAATGGGACCCGCATCACCTCTGTGGAAAGTTTTAGAAATCTCTCTTGTTTGAGATCTCTTTACTTTAAAACGCTGGACACTTCAACCTTCATCTTCACAATGTACAGTTTCTGAGCGGAGTGTCTACTCTTTTACAGGTGATTGCCGGCGCTGGAATGGATGTGGATTTCACCATCAAAAGCCCCTACGGATATTATATAATATCAGATTTTAGAAAATCAGACGGTGTTCACACGTGAGCTTTTCTTTTGTTTCCCATTTATGTCTTCCCTTTCAGAGGTTCTTGTTCACATCATTTAGTTAATGGTAGCTTTTAACACTCAGTCAAACACTTTTTTGTTTCATGGTCCTTAAACGACAATTTAAGATAACTTTAGTATCTTGTCGGTATCCACCTCTAATAATCTTATATTCTTCCCAAAGGAATTAAGAGAAACTTCACTGTTCTGAGACCCTGGAGTTCTGTGATAGTAGTGCTGATTTCCATACCACTGTGTGGCCTTCTATATGAACTGCTGTTACTATTGTGTGAAACTGAGAGCTATGTATTGTCATGTATCGTCTAACAATATGTGGAACATGAACAGGAGGACACAAGTGGAATCTAAGGGAAGGTGTATTTCACACTGAGAGCAAGAGGTACTTTTGTACACCAGCTGTTACCCTGCCATCCATTAGGAAAGAATTGGATTAAACTGTCTGGTCAATCATCAGTCATTAGCATTGCTGCCTCACAGCACTGGGGCCCTAGGTTCAATTCCGGACCTGGGGTGCTATCTGTGTGGAGTTCATATGTTTTTCCCATGTTCACATCACCTTTTTTGATTTTCCATGTTCTAATATTAATGCACCTGTTTTGATCCAAGGACGTTCAGTTTTTTGATTGACCAATCACAGCAGCTGCAGCCACATTTAGCAGAGTTTTCACTTCCCTGGGCCAACCGTTCAATGTCTTTCACACTCTAGTCAGCCAGGACATTGAATCAGAGCTTTATGAGGCACTGTGATCCATTGAGCCGCTTAAACGTTTCTTGAAAAGGATGTGTTGAAAACAGGCACTCTGCATGCAAGATTGAGGCAGTGCAACGATGTTTTGTTAAATTGTCAGAATTGTTGACCGATTTGTTGATTTTTAGAATCAAGGTTGAGAGTCTCATGTTTTGACATGATCGGTGTTTTTCAGGTATTCAGAATCAGAAGCTTTGACCAAGTCAAATCAGGATGAAGATCAGTAACAATGCAGTGACTGGGGATGTTAGTGGACATTATAATCAGCAACATTCAGGACAGAAAATGGAAGTTGATTTTCTACACAGAATGTTATAGGGATTTGAGACCATCTCCTTAGCCTTTTTATTGCTATCAACCAGGGATTTTTACAGACAGCAGTCTGATGATATTAAGGATTAAGCCATTACTCAAGTTGGTGTCTGAACTAACTGGTGTCATTTAGGCAATTGACTTACTTTTGCCACATACTAGTAGTATTATCCTATGGTAACACTGTAATACAGTGGGCTTGCTTTCATATCCTTTCACTGTTGTATGGTCTATCATCTTTTCTGAAAAAAGAATGTATTCTTAATTACCTTAATGCTACCCAACTCATGATCAATATGAATGTACTTCACCTTGGAAGCTACTGTCTTAATGTAGGTTAAAAAGTCACCTGGGGTCTAAAGGAAAGGAAAGTTGTTTTTATTTTGTAGCTGATTTAAAAAAAAAAAGTAGCATTTAAATTCTGAGTAGTCAGTATGACTTGCACAAAAGCTAATGTCTGCACCTGCAAACCTTACTATAGATCTGCACAGGACAAATAACCTTATATTTTAAATGTAGGCATCAAATATATGTGAGTGTTTTATTTATGCAATATACTGAACCAGTCAGCTTCCTGTTCATGAAATAAAAAAATGAAGCTGCTGTTCTGATAAATCAAGTGAACATGTAGAGAGAATCAAGTTTGACGGATGTGGTCTTGTCTTTAGGTTTCTAAATGAATATTGATTACATCATCTTTCCTAGACTGCCAAGTCATTGTCACACAAACCTGATCTTCTGTACTCCAGTGCTGCCTGTTTACATTGGATTTATAACAAACAGATTTAAAAGCAATAAAAAGTCATTAACAGTTTTGAAAGTAATCAAAGACAAGCTGCATTGCTTTAAATGAAGCCTTGCTCACAGTAGAATGTTACGTCTTGAGTGTAGATTCTCAGAAGGAAGTTACTCAGTAGTGGAGGGGCCTGAGAAGTTCCTTGGAACTTGTCCGCTTTTGACAGCGGAATGTCTGTGTTCTCATTGGAGCTGTAGTTGCATCAAATTAATACCCCGGTCACCATTTTCCTGCGCTCTTGCAGTTATTCTGTCATTCTGATGTTTGGTTGACTTCACTGATGGATGGTACTACCTTTGGTGGTTTTGTTCTACCCTTTTTTAAACCATTCTCTAGCATGTTCACTTCCACAGTGAATTGAAAACAATAAACTAGGACAGGACTGTCTCACTCCTATGCCTTCATCACTGTCAAGCTGGAAAAATAAGAAGCAGAGGCCTTTGTTAATTATTTAATGTATGGTTTATACATGAGCTGCAAATCAAAGTGTGGTCTTTAGTTTTGTCAGAAGGATTATTTTGTCTGGAGTTTTGAGTATGATTATTTTATAAAGGAATACTGTAAGGAAGTATTGGAAGGAGTATGTAAAAGCTTGTGCAGTTATACTCTCTTAACACTGCGGCCATGCTGATAACATGTCTCGGAGAACAAGAGAATGCATTTATCATTTAAAAAACTAGGAACCTATTGTAATTCACAGGCCATAAATGTAAATGATTATTTACATGAAGGCACCTTGTTTGTAGGGCTCTTTTTTTAAATCCACATTTAAAGGGGAACAACAGTCCCAAGTTCTCAGACAGGTTATTAAACATGTGTAAGAAAATAAATTTACCAGTGGTATTTAACAAATTTAGAATTAAGTACAAAATTATGAACTTTGTGAAAGTACGGTAAGTCACTATGTTGTCACAAACAAGTCACCATGGGCTACTTCACACAATCACGAATTGTGACATGAACCGACCCTTCATTTGTAATGACTAATGTAATGCGATGTACAAGCGAATTAAGTACAGGTTATACAGCAGTTATTTCACCGCAAAAATGTTCCAACGTGCAGTTAACGAGTAAGTAGTATTAGTCGGGAAAACTATACTACAGAGCATTATTTCTATTGGATTGGATTGGAAGAGATGTATTCACAAGCTTGCTTCTTTACAATGCAATAAGGCTTCATCTCATCTCGTTACTGGAAGTTTTGTTGCCTTGTTCTGACTCATAGAATATGGCATTGTGCATACCTGGAAATTGTCTATTTTTTAATGCAAATTGGAAGGTTTACAAGTTTGTACATTTTACTTTTATTGTGGTTTGAAGTGCACTCATCAGTGCTGATTCTTTCTAGCACCGAAATATAAAAATAGCACTGCAGTACCCCTTTAATGAGCACATTCTTTCAATTATATTTGTCAGTCCTTTGTAGCTAAGGCCTGACATTTTATGGCCACTGCGCATCAAGAAATACTTGCATGCCATCATTTACAATTCTATAATATTATAGCTGTGAATGTTAAAAGGTGTGCCATTTTTACCACATAAGTACCTTCTTCCTGTGTATGTTACAGTGTGAAGGAGTTTGATTGTCACTTACTGTATGATGCAGTACAATAATTTCAATAGCTGAACTAGAGTCTTCTTTCCTTTTTTCATGGCAGTCCTCTTGCAGGGCTGCAAGACCTGTTTGATCAGTTGTGCTGCATGTCCAGGATATAGTTTGTTTAAGTGTTCAGTGGTGCAATTGCATTACAGCAGTAGAGTGTGAGCCAGGGCAGTGCAGTTGTTCATCATCATACTGAGCAGGTTCAGTAGCCTCTAGAAGTTGATTCTGTGTTTTTAACACAAGGGTGAGATCTCTTCCTTCCAAGCAGAAATGGAAAATAACCTAAAGGTAGAATATTCTTTCTCTTCAGAACTTTATCACTGGGAGTTCCTGTTTACATTGGATTTATAACAAACATATTGAAAAGCAATAAAAAGTCATTAACAGTTTTGAATGTAATTAAAGACAAGCTGCATAGCTTTAAATGAAGCCTCAAGAAACCACTCCTTATGTCTGTGAAAACCTTCCATGGTGGAGTTAATATGCTGTTGTACCAACTTCTGTTTTGATAGGGAGATGAACGGTTTTAGTTGCTGCTGTGCAAATAGCTGAGTGAAAAGGCATGATGTACAACTTCAGTCCCTGTGGGATCTGGCCCTCCAGGTTATTTTTAAACCAACAGTTAAAGACTCAGTGGAATCACGGTGGCCAAAATAGACAAATATTTATTTTAACGGAGACTGACGGGTATTAAAGTAGGCTGGAGCAAATTGGAACCCCAAGTTTCTGCCATTGTTATATGATGCTATATTTCCAAAGTGTTCTGTGCATTTTCTATTCAGGGTGGAGCCCACGGATGAAGGGGATTACCAAATCTGTTTTGACAACACCTTCAGCAAGTTCTCGGAGAAAATGGTCTTCTTCGAAGTGATCTTTGAAGGCCCAGCAGGGGAGGAGGTGCAAGATGACTGGTCCAACATGGTGGAGCCCGAGAACCTCCTGGAATACAAGCTAGAGGACATCAGGGTAAAAGAAGGCTACTGCGTCTGCTCTGCTTCTGCCCTTTCAGTGCCAAACTTAGGGAATGCAGGGGTGGCAGTGTACTGAATCCAGGCTAATAGTACTGAGAAGGCTAATCTTATCTTAGAATTACCTGAAAGTCTGATCTGATTTATACCAAAATATGCTCTTGCACAAATCTGTGTGAAAAGGAGAAAGCACAAACTGAAGAACAAAATAAGGTCTTGGTGAAAGTAGGCCCAGTGTTTTGTTCCAGTTACAGCAGATGTGGGAAACTCAGTTCCAGAGGACTGCAGTTGTTATCTGTCATGTGTTGCACTCAAGCTTCCATCTGCACGTGTTTTTAGATGTTTAGAAGACCTTGAGAGAAATGTCAGTTATGTTAACCTAGATTAATAGTCTAATTTGATCAGTGTGTAAACAAATGTGGAGCTAATGAAAACTGGAGTTTCACAAGGCCCAGGAGGATTGGAGTTGATACTGTACATCTGTTGGAAGGCTTGACTAAACTTTCTGTGCATGCAATATTCAAATCATTAAATGTTAAAGACTTGGATAAGGATGATTATTAAAATGAAAAAATTGGGGCACTTAATCCTTTTAATCCTTTTCAAGATGTCTTGGTGTATATATGGCCCATGTGAGGAAGAACTGTACAGTTTAGATCAAGGATTTGACTGATATGCCTTGCTTTACTGACATTCTTTGTGACTTCTTTGTGTTGTATAGGACTCGATCGATTCTGTGCACAGGAGGCTGGAACGTAGTATGCAGATGCAGACGGTGCTGCGTGCCTTCGAAGCTCGGGACCGCAACCTCCAGGAGGACAACCTGTGGCGGGTTACTTTCTGGTCTTCCGTCAACATGTTGGTAATGTTAGTGGTGGCTTTGATGCAGGTCTACACCCTCAAGAGCCTCTTTGAAGACAAGAGGAAGGTCCGTACGTAACTACCCAAGGACGAGGAGAGGTCTCCACAATTGCTCACGTGGATCTCCCCGTCTCACTTGAGGAGAGTGTGGTGGGGAGCTGCTCATGACCAAATGGGACGCATTTGATCTGTTCTGCTTACATGGAGGTATCCTGCATCTAACTGAGCACAATCTGTCCACACCATACTCCCAGACTCTCTGCATCAACCGAGGTGGTGATACTGCCACCAATTTTGCACATGGCTACACCTGCCTTTCATTTGCCCCTGCAGAAACTGATCACAAACTGTCTGCAACATTTACTTGCTTCCCTAGATTATATAAGGGTGTGATCTTGGACTGGATGTGTTCATATGCTTAAACTCCCATTTGTGTCCAGTGGGCATTTCACTCAGGTGACCCATTTTCACCCCTGCCTAAAAGTGTGAAGCCTTGGAATCAAGAAGCTTTTGATCTTCTCTCTTATTTTGCTCTTCAGACCCAAATCCAGACCTCATCTTTGCAAAGCATTTTCAGTGTAGCGTGCTCTAGTTTCACCTGATTGTGCCTGATGCAACTTCTGTTCCTCTTCATAGTTGCAATATCATTGCTAATCTGTCTCATCTTCAGCAGATACAGCTTGTAATCAGATTGAGATTCCAGTTGCAAAAACCCACTACAGGATCCAGTGAGATCCTTTATTAAAATGGTCCCCCACCACTGTCAAACATCTCTCGTTGCCTTGCCTAACAGCATGCATCCGATTACTACCAACATTTCACAGGGACTTAATAAAATACTACTTTATAATGCTCTGGTTTGCAGAATGCCCAAAGTTTTGGGGCATAGATTATCATTATTATTATGGGTTATTAGGGTATGGTGTCTCCTGTGTCTTTATGATTATATTCTTATAATCTTTCTGAGGTGGGGGTGGCAGGGTTTTATTTGGATTTTTTATTTTAACAATTAAAAAAGTGCATTTATATTTCATTCTTACTTTCTACTCCCCGGGGTGAGTCCTGGCATCACATTCTTGGGGTTTTGCCTCATTCGTGTGCTTTGGCGGCTTTGTGCGCAAATGTTTTTAGTACATATTGTACTCGCAGGTACTGTACTTAAATTCTGTAGCATACCAGAAGTGAAGTCCTCTCTTCACTGGGAAACTGACTCCCATTTTATACTTGGTAGGCAACACATGTTCAATATATCTCTAATATATTAGAGACCCAAGCATAAAATATCCAGGACTTAGTGCTTGCTGGTAAAGGAGCCTTCAGGTGGAAAAAATAGTGATGGATTACACTTCTTCACAGTGTGAGTCTTAATGTGTTTTCCAACACATCAGGTCAGGCTAAGTCAAAGCCCAATGCTGCAAACACAACTGTCTCTGCTTCACACTTTCTTATACCACAGGGTATAAAAATTTTATGTTTTAGCCTTTTCTGTGACAAGAGTGTGAAACATCATCTACGACTTCACGCACTGAATATTTAAGAACTGTAAAATACTGATATACTATAATGTTTGGCCATTTTTCTACCATTCTTTCATAATGGGTGGAGAAAGAAATTGCTTTAAATGCATGAAGTGGGTATGTTTGAAGTGCTTAACAGTTCAGACTGGGATTAATGAAGATTTTGTTTTAATCAGATGTGAACAAGTTGAGCAGTTATCAAGGTAATGGGGTCTGTTGTATGTTAAGGCTGGTGAAGTAGAGACCAATCCATCTTAATATTTGCAATGAAGCATAATTATAAAGTTCAGCAGGAAATGAGAATGAGCCTTCATGGCCATAGGGGTCTTGTTCAACGAATTTCGAGGCCGACTCTGTAGTTAGCAAATCTCACTAGTAGACTGTGATTACACACACTGTGGTTTTCTTTTCTAGGCCTTATTAGGCCACAAGAATCTTGTGGTTCTCAAAGCATTTTGATGGCTCTGAGCAGTTGTCCACAAATCAAGTCTAATGGTAGTCATGCCATTAGACTGTGTAGAGCTATGTCTTGAAGTCAGGCAATTCCTGCTCACTGTTGGCTGTGTATTGATGCAGCCAAGATATTAACTGTTATGAATGGTCAGGGGTTAATAATAACTCAAAGTGAAAACATTTTCTTGTGAGATGTTTACACAAGAGCCTAGTTTGAACATTTCACTGGTCAATTGTCGATATTAAACACTGTGAAATGAACAGCGATTTGCATTACAGAGACGACTTTAATTATTGTGTACTCATGCCCTATGTGCCGATTGCTGTTCGGCTTAATTGCTATTTAAAATATGTCTGTCAATGAACATACATTAAAATTGCCAAGAAACCACGGCTAATGAGAAGTATAATGCTTTCCTACAAAGAAGATATCTACACTAGACAAGTTGTGCCTTTGGACAAATCTGAAAATGTATTTGTTTTAAATAAACTTCTACTTTTAAAGAAATATGATTGTTCTGTGCTTTTTGAGCTGAATGTATGTGCTTTATGTCTTCCTCCTGGCAAAGTTGGACTATAAATGTGGAAGTTCAGATGAGACAGCAAAGATGCTCTGTCTCTGAACCTTACCTCTTGATGATTTGCTAACACGTGTCAAAAAACTTATTGCAGATATTGTCCCACCATACCTGAAATTCTCTATAACCGATAAAGATCAAAGCACAGTCTTTAACAGACCAATTATCACTGATAAGAAAAGTAATGCAAACTTTTAATCTGTGCATAATACTCTACAGATTTAACTATTTTGTGTTCTCTCAGTGATCACAAAAGAATACTTATAAAAATGCAATATTGCATTGAAAAAATATTAGTTTTAGTTGTTCTGCATCTTCAAAGTACTCTAGCAGTCTCTTTTAAGGGATGCTAAACTGTTAAGAGATCCAGGCTTTGTTAAGATATTTCCATTGGTGTTTTTATTCTCTGATTGACATTGACTTTTGCTTTGGTATTGAGATAGCACCAGATTTCAGTAATTGTGTCTCTTTGTTTGATTTGAGGTATATGCACACTTCAGGCAGTATTCCCCAAGCATTTTGATATAAAATTTCTGTCAGAATTGTTCCCTGCCCTGTAGGTAAGCTGTTAATGCTGCTTTTTTGCAACACAAATAATACCAAGTGTGAGTTCAGGACAAAAGCCTTAAGGTTTTGTTTTAGCCTATTCAGGTTATTCTAAAAAAATGAGATTGCATGACCTGTGATGGCTGGGTGAGGATTTATGAGATTATGAGCGGTTGTTTGCCTGAGCTGACCACTATCGAGTCTGACAGGTAAATCGGGCTATTATTGACATTAAAAAAGTAGAAATGGCACGGATGTCCATAAAAACAACCACACTAACTAACTTTTGTCATTCCCCTTCTGAAAGGTTGCCAACCCCTGTTCTATAACATGGAACAAGGAATGTACAGTTTTGTAGTATAGAGAAAAGTGGAAACCTATGCAGCTTGGATTTCTATCCATTCATTATTAGTAAATATTTCTGGTTAGGACTATGCCAGAGCAACCGGTATCCTGAAATGAAGCTCAGATAGAAGTGAATTGAGACCAAGAGTACTCTACGGCCACATGTTGTAGAATTAGAAGGTTTTGCAGCCTTACGACTTCATGACTAAAGTCTGCAGATAGGAGTCAAGCACATATTATGATTAATATGTCTGTCTGAACTATTATCACCCTAATCCCCACCTCGCAACCTCCGCTCTTCAAATTCTGCCCTCCTTACTGTCCCCCAAGCCCGTCTACAATGTATGGGTGATAGGGCCTTCTTCTGTTATGCCCCCAAGCTCTGGAACTCTTTGCCTAAGGATATCAGAGAGTCACCTTCTCTAAACTCCTTCAAATCCAGACTCAAAACCCTCTTCTTCAGAAAAGCCTTTACTTAACTGGTTCCATTCTTCACCCCTATGCTCTTCTTAGTACCACCATCTACAGTCTCCTCTATATATTGTAATTGTGTCTTATCTTGTGTATTCTCCTTATTTATTGTTGTATTCTTCTTATTTGTTATTGTCATCCAGTAAAGCGCTTTGAGAAGCCACCTTCAAAGGCTCTATATAAAATAAAGTTTATTATTATTATTATTATTAATGCTTTAATGTCCTAGCAGTTGATGTACCTGCCATCTTAATGCCCATGCAGAAAGATCTCTTCTCTGTTAGACTTTGTTAAGATGGTAGTGTTAGTGATAATCCTCTTTCTAGTACATCATGTGTCACCACAGTAAGAGATAGACCAATATTCATGTTCAGTACCTTTGCAGTCAGTTTAAAATGGCCAGAACTTTAGCGGAGTCTTTTATTGGCATTCTAGATAGACTTTTAGTGAAAGAGCAGTCTGGAGACACCCGCCAGTCTCTGACTTCCATCACAGTAAGCAGTATCTTGGCCGAATCTTTACAAAACATTATGGTCTTGTAATGAAGTGTTGGGTAGCAAAAAGAGCTAACCAAGGTCACTGTAAATGGGAAGATGTCATTTCTTTTGAATAACATTTGAATCAAGGTTTCATCAGTGCTTTGCTGCTGGATGATTCAACAGCTGTTGTCGAATCAGACATCAGCATGGGAGAGTAATTTATACAAAATTCAATTGAACAAAACTTAAGGAGGAGTTCTGATTATAACTTGTTTTTGTATGGGAAAATGTCATTGCTCATTGCTATGTGGGTGATATCTTGTGACCAATCCTTCCCACTTGGAAACTCACACAGCTCATTTTCCAACAGCACAGGGCTTAGTCTCATATAGCCAAAGGTATTCTCACACACACAGACTTCAGGTGTTGGACAGTTCAACACTTGCGAGATGGGTTGTCACGATTCACAGCATCCTCAACCACCGAACACTGCAGAATGATTGCCTCACTGCAGTATAGGACAGCTCTCCCAAGCATTTGAGGTGTGTGTAACATTTGCTTGTAGACATTATGAACTTGTGAGGGTACAAGGTGGTCATACCCTTAAGTAAGCATCAGTGATTTCGGCACATTCTCAAGACTTCTTTGACAGCCAAGGCAGACCACAGAAACCTGCGATTTTTCCTTCCGCTTATTGCAGTAATATACCAAACAAAGCGAATAATTTGTTGTATGAACTTTCAGGAAGTCCTAAAATGTTTCCTCTATTAGAACTGTGTGTGTATTGCCTCTCATTATGTATTCATTTATACACTCATGAATTAATGCACTGAAATAAGTGCATTAGTTTTATAATTTCAATATTGAAAATTCCTTGTTCTACAACATAAGCTGTTTTGTACATAAGAAAACAGAAGTGACACAGCACTTTTTCAGTAAACTTCTTAAAAACAAGATTTCAAAAGGGTGTTTTTATTCAGGCTTAGTCTTTGTTAAAGACCTTTGTAAAGATGTAACGAACAGTTCTTTCCGGACCCTATGCGGACGACACAATCCGAAGAAGTGGGGAAACACTGGGGAAACGTCATGCAGGAATACGGGGCTGACGACAGGGGGGCGTGTCCAAGGTGCGCTGGTGCACGGGGGAGGTGTGGCCGAGGCGAACAATCCAAAAGAGTAATCCTTAGAGAGTATCCAAACAAATGGGTAAATCCAAAACGAGGAGATCCATCAAAACCAGAAATTAAAACCAGAGGCCGGGTCGGAACCGGCGGACAGGGAACGGGAACAGAGATTAAAACCTTAACGGGACCAGGCGCTTCCAGGTCCCGGACTCGCACGATACGGAAACAGATGCAGAGCCCGGATGAGCGTCAGCGCCTGGCTTTTAAGGTGGGCTGGGAATAGGAATCAGGTGCACAGAATAAAGTCTAAAGTGAAAGGGCTGGAGCACCCTTAAGGAGGGGGGACGGTAACCGTGACAAAAGACCTATGTTAGAAATGTCCCAGCTTATCTGTATGGTTTATCAGCCTGTATGTTTCCAGCATCTTTGCTGCACATTCTATGTAATAATTCTTTAATAACAAAGATAGGTAGTACTAGAAGCATTACCTTCATATTACCACAAAATAAACTAACAAGGCAAAACAGCTTGTTTGGTTTTAAAGACCCTCAGATATTTTCCTCAAAGGAAAAAAAGTATTTGCATTGCTGCTGAGGGAAAACGTATCAGAAAAAAATTGCGAAACTATAGTGTATACTTATGAGGAATTATATGCAAAACCGGTTTTTGACTACTGAATAAAATCCTAAATTTCAGTCAATTTCACATTCAAATAGTTACAAGCGTAGCTGAACAGTTTGTGCCCTTTGACTTTCCTTCTGTTAGCGTAGCTTTTTCGCCACCTTGTGGTAAAATCAAGAATAAACAGAATGCCTAAAGCACTCTTTTGCATTACTTAATCATTTTGATTTTCCAATTGCCTTCAGTTGTTGTAATTTAATATTTACAAAACATTTTTTCTGTACTATGAAAAGAAAAAATGAAGATACTGGACAAAACAAACTATTCATTTTAAGCTGATGTTTTTTTGAAGATCATGAAACTGCTCAGAGATTGTATTATCAAGAACATTGAAAACATTCGGTAACAAAAATGTAATGGTATCTATCCTCAATGTTTTAATCAATGTCAGCGTTTTAAGTATTGGATGGTGGAAACTATATATTCAGACTAATTATTTTAGAACAACGAAGATGCCACCATCTAAAATACACCCTGGAATTTGTGGCATCATGGTGCTGTATCAGCTCACCCTGTTCTAGCAGATTAACAAATCCTAAAGGGAGAAAATTAGATATCAGATAAATCAATGACTTTTTTTTTCCTGCAGCTGACATCTTCTGTGTGTCTGTTTAAGCAAATTTTAAAGTGTGCCTTCTTCGCCTGGTTTAAGCACATGTATTTGCTCATGTGTTTTGTTGGATCTGTTAAAGCACTGATGCTTACAACCCAAGAGACCTTACACTGTAGCTGTCAACATTTAATTTTCAAATCTCTCCCATGGTTTAATCACACATATACCATTCATTTCTATTCTCAAGTAATAAATCTGGGTTTTGTTATATTTCAGTTTTTTAGCTCTGTGAGGCACAAATGACAGGAAAAAAGTGTGAACTGGATGGGGCTATTAAGAAGAAAAAGAAAAAGCTTATAGCAGTGAATATTTCAGTGACAGAGTGGTGCTTCCAAATGACGATGGCTGTGGGCTTTCTGTTTTATCTATAAAATGTACACACAAAGGAGATTTGCCCTTTCCTTCTTTGCATCTCCCTCAAATAGAACAGTTGACCATAATAAACTCCCTTAGTCAGGTTTCAAGGGGACAAATAGAGAATAATTCCGTGCTGAATTCCATGCTAAAGCAGAAAGAAGAAACAGAATATTTTGGCTGTTGAGCCATCTTCCAGTGACACTCGATCAAGGCTCATCAGCTGAGATGCTATGTCAGCATGGAATGAATCTCTACTTGTTCCTTTGTAGCAACCTCATACAGTTGCAGACTCCCATTCAAACCTAAGGAATTCACCCTAACAAGATCCGGTCAACGACAACAAGAGAAAAAGGATGTACCTCCTAGGCATAATAAGGAACAAGTAACTGACATTGGTCTGGTGAGGAAGTAGCAGTCCCGAGCTTCATGCACGATTCCCGAACAGAGAGTTTCAGAATTATGTGGAAGTACATGATACATTTGATTAAATTCAATGACAAATGAAAGACGTGCAGTTTTGGAGTAAGTTATTTTAATTTGTTTAAATATCACTGCTCTGGTCCCGCATGTCCACACAGTCTCTAATCAGACTCGGGAGGGACAGGGACAAACCTGTAAAGCCTCTGGGGAAGAGAAAGACAAAACAAAAACCTTGACTCAGTTATTTTGTTTATTGTTTTCTTTTCAAAAAGACAACTGTAACTACACTTGCTGTTGGAATTTGCCCCTTCAGTTCTTTGCCAGCTTCAAAGTAACATCAGTTTCTAAGGACACCTTTCTGTACTCAGAGCATTTTGCCTCTTTTAAACGGCTTTGTTACTGCCAGCTTTGGGAGGTCCAATGGCCTTCTCTCAAGAAGGTCTTACTAATTGGTTCAACAAATCCATGTGAAGCAATGGCTGACCCCAGTGTGGTTTATTCTTCAGTTTTTGTGGTGGATGGGAAGACCAGTGCAAGTCTGGATCCCCAGAAAAGACGGACAGGGATGGCACAGACGCTCCTCTTTGTGCTGCTGACCATGGTGCTGCTTGGGATACTGATTGAGGGTTATTTCATCTTCCAGCTGTGGACAAGAAACTCTCTAAGTACTGCCTGCAGTGTCTGGATTGGCATCAAAGGCTGAACTAACACTCTTTTAAACGGGACCCATTTTAACCTTTTGCCAAGAATCTAAACAATATCATAAGTCAAGTTAATAGGGTCCATTTCAATCAAATTTTTTTGTTCTAGAGAAAAATGTAGTTAAAAACCTGAAAGTGAACAGTAAAGACTAAATGTACAAATAGAATAAGATGCATATAAGAAACGGTCTTTATAATGGGGCATATGCTTCTGTCAAGATTTCTGCAGTATACAGTAAATTGTACTACAACTTTACATTTATAGGGCTGCTTTTCAAAGCATTTTGTTACTCTCCATTTTCTGAAAGTGGCTGCGAAATTGTTAAAGGGCAAATCTCTTGCAATTAAATGTTGTAGACATCGGAACAAAATGCCAAAGTTTTCACTCTTAAACATGATATTCTGAAAAGTGTTGCACTAGAGCATGCACTGGAAAGTTGTTCCGTCTATGCTAGAAAAAATGATAAAATGGATAAAACATTGAAGATTTATAAAGTTTAATTACAGTATGTGTACTTTTCATATGAACATTTAAAATGTCTAGATGTGTTTATGCCAGAATTTATTATTAAAGAAATGTGGAGAATTTTGAATGCCCATGTTTTTGGTACATTAGGTTATGCTACAATAGATTTATTAGACATGTTTCACATGTTAGACTGCACTAGCTAAACCAGTAGGAAATTCCCATGGTCTGTGTGCAAATCCTCTTTGATAGTCTATCTATATTCGTAAAGAGAGTTACATTGGGTATTGATATCCTCAGTTAACTAGGTTTGGCTGCGTTAGTATTCATCTAAGCAGGTACTGTAGGGAACTGATCTCATTAGCTAAAGCTGTGCATTGCATGTCCAACAACTGGTATAGCACAAGACTTAGGTGTCCATCAAGCACTGTTAGTCATATTGTTAATAATTTCCTGTCACTGACCACTATTAGTTACCAATCTATTGCTCATTATCCATTATTTCTGTTAATAAACAGCACAGCATCAAGTATGGTGCTCTGCCATTCACAAACTCAATGATGAACCCCTCAAGAAATGTCTTACAAAGGTGGTTGATGGTTGTTATGAAATGTGATTTATATGCTAACACAAAAAATGAATCAGCCTAATGTCCAGCATGGAATGCACGTAATTTAGAACATACCTTAACTACAAACATATTACAGTCAAAATACATGGGGCATTAATGCATTTAGTTTCCACAGAGCTGTGGTGGCTTTTACACCGGCTTTTCAAAGAACCATTTTGAAAGAGGAAAATGTTCGCTTGTTCCCCTTTGTAAAAACGTGTTGCTGGTCTGTTTCTAGGGTCATACTTTGGCTCATTGTTCAGTGACCATACACTGCCGTGTCCCAGCATGTGCTCTTATTTTCTGTTCCTTCGTTTTTCTGATGGAACTTTGTGACTCAAAGCTTGACCTCACTTTCCTTTACTCACTTGTGCTTGTGACAGAGGAGTTTGTCACAGGGTACAGATAGCACAGAAAATACAACATTCATACACCTTCCATTGAGTGGTTGCTAGATAAGTTCCTGAGGGTGCACACTCAGGGCTTGACTAGTAACTGCTATTACTTAATTTCATATACATTCATGTACATAAAAATACCTAATTTCACATACATTCAAATACTTAAACACAGGTGTGAGTGAGTATTGTGGTGTGAATGGAGAGCACTCTCAAAATGGATGTTACTCACTGTTTGTTTGGTGTCAGTACTTCTGGGGTGAGTCAACCTATGGTGGTCTCAAAAAGCCAAACCTAACCCCAGTTCTCAAGGGTTATTTATGGAAAGGGGAAAAACCACTTTGAAGTAGAGAAATGGTTTGCTCCAAAGGGGGAGGGGCTTACAAGCTATTTAAGCCGGCTCATCAGTTCAAGCGCTGGTTGCTGGTTGCTGGTTGCTGGTTGCTGGTTGCTGGTTGCTGGTTGCTGGTTGCTGGTTGCTGGTTGCTGGTTGCTGGTTGCTGGTTGCTG